CAATCCGGCATGTATCGTGCCACTCGGTCCGTCTCTTCTCGTTTGCTTTCTTCCCTCGCCGTCTCGTCCGTCTCCTGCCCCCCTCCCGCCCATTGGTTGTTGGCTTGTGGTTTCGTTTGAGCGCTCGTTGTCGGCTGGCCTCTTCTTCCTTCTCGTGCCAGGAGGTCATGAACCTCTCAGCTCCTTGCAGCACCGCCGCCTGCCAGGGTGCTCCCCCCTCCACCTTCGCGGCTTCCGTCGACTTTAACTTCGGTGCCGTGGCTTTCGGTACGGGAATTCCGAGACAACATGGATCGGTTTTCGTAGATCCGTGGTCGGACCCGAATGCCTTCAGGTCATCGAGCACACACTTCGGCCAGTTCTGTTCCTGTCCCCCCCTACGTGGCTTCTCCCCCCCCGCCAGCTCGCCGAGCATCAGTCGTTTCGGGAGTCGCCCGTCCGGCTGCCTTTCCAGTGCTCCCGCGAACAGTAGGCGTCGTTGTCGGATCGTGGCTTCAACGCTCTGGCATTCGACCCTCTTCAGCGTCTGGGCGTAAGAGAGCTGCCGGTAGGTGTCTTTCTTGCGCTTGTACCCGATAACTCGAAGGAGCAGTCGGTGGTGTGTCGACCGTAGCGTCTGATAGTGGCCGCTGAGTGGTGACCATGTCATGCAGCCGTACAGCAGTGCCTCCATGGCCTCCGCCTGGAGGAGGCGGATCTTGAGTCGGAATGGCGCTTTCGGTCTGTCGAAGAGCTCCTGGCCATATCGCCTGAGACACGCCCACGCTCCAATGCTCCTCCAGATGATTTCCCGGGGTCGGTCGTCGCGGTGGGTATACCCACCGGCGTCAACTAATTTTTTCATGTACCCACTTGTGTCTGTATTTTGACCCACTTTTGTCCAAATTGTACCCACTTTTGTCCACTTACGGACGGCGGAAATCGAGCGGAAATCGACCTCCACGTCACCGCACGGCAGAACATCGAATAGACTGGGAACGTCTCAGAACCTCCCAAAACCATATCCATGGCATCTTTGCTATCCATGGCTGCCGACTGCGGACCGACCACGGAGGAACATGTCAGAAACATGCCAGACCCCTTCGGTACCGGCACGGGAAGATACCAGGCACGGGAAGATACCCGCGGCAAGCCGACTGCTTGCCGTGACGAGTCGGTGTGCACTTGTCGTGGTGGTTAGTGTTTTTGTGTGTGTGTTGTTGCTGTTTGCGCGTCTTTTTGTTCTGTACGCGCGACCCGTTGGTTGTGTTGTCCGTTGGTTGTGTTGTCCGTTGTGTGTCACGCATTTATGTGTGGCGTGCCGTTAGTGCGCTGC